AGGGTTGCGAGTTCGATTCTTGCTGTGGGCATGGAAATTTCCTTTGTCCTGGGCGAGCATGGTTTCTTCTCTTTCCAAGTTGAAATTGTTCACTGGAAATGTATGTGTGCTGCTCACTAGTGTATCATTAAAATTAAGTTTCAGAAGTCCTGCAGAAAAAAAACAAACAAACAAACACTCTTCGGTAACTATCTAAATACGATCAACAGACAAGGCTTTTGATGATTTTCTCATAAATAATTCAGTAGTCTAATAAATAAGAAAATATATACATTCTAGGCGACTGAAACTATCATTTCTTTACTGTCCAACCACAACCACGAGCTTATAACATGATCCGAGAGGAACTGGCACTAGTAAAACAAAATGGCGCCTGAAAGCCACGGAGAAAAAAAGGATGATCTGGCCTTTTTTTACCCTCCAAATGGGTTAAACTTTCAGTTTTGCTGATTTAATTTAATTTTTTTGATTGCTCCGAGTTGATCCGAGTCCAATTTTATTTAATTTTTATTTTTTTATTCGATCCGAGTTGGTCCGAGTCAATCCGAGTTGATCCGACCCGGACTGGCGGTCCGAGTTGATCCGGTCCGACTTTTGTACCTGCCTGTGTTTTTGCTGGTTTTTAGGGTGAATACCAAAACCACCAAGAGGCAAAGCACAACAGGTGCTCCATATTCTATGTTTGGTGTTTGGTAACGAAGCAAATTAAATTTTGAATTTTTGTCACAGACACAATAGGCCACTCACGCATCCAGCCATCTCTTCTCGGGGAGGACTGAATCAAGGCTACCTTATTCACCGACTCTGCAGAGACAACAGTGACACTAACACCAGGAAACTTTTATACTGTTCAATTGTTCCACTCAAATTAGACATGAAGACCTCGGAGGCACCCACACCAAAATTTCCCTATAATGCCCCCCTAGGGGGAAATTCCCAGCCCCTGGCCCTTAATGACAGTCATGTAACACTATGTTCAAAAATTCTATTGCTAATGTTCAAACTATTACTGCCAGCTTTACATTCTTCAAAGCACAACCATATTTAGGTTACATGTACTGTAAGTACTTAATCACCTGAACGTAACTTGGAACTCATTAGCTTTACTACAGGCTATGGTAAACACACAGCAACTCCATCAACATTAGGGACCTTAAGATACGAGGACGGGACAAGCTACAACGGCTACCGGAAGTAAATTTGCACAACGAGGCATGCGCACACGAAGCCCGAACTCGTGTTCTTGCCGTCCTGGTCTCGCCGAGGACGCCATTCAGCCTGTTTTGCCGTCGTCTGGAAAACGTGAGTATTCGCGGCTTGTTTTCACCTACAATAAGGCGATATCGACTCCCTTTTCAGATATTCTGACCCTGGTGTTTCTTAAGATCATATTCTTCACGATTTCTGTGGGAAATATTTCGAAATGAGAAAAAAAGGCCATAATTTATGTTCATCATTGTTTGTTTGTTTTGCAGTCGCGACCATGAATGTTCCTGATGAGTGCCCAGTGAAGAAAAGTAAATAAGTGTAAGTGAAGTTGAAATAGATCCAGTTACAATGGAGTAACAATCGAGTGGAAAAAGGTTCAGTGAAGGTTTCTTTGACTTGTACCTCCTGACAGTCCGGCGGTGTTTACCTTTTGCTCATTTGAAAAGCAATTTCATTTTTTAACTAAAGATTTATACGCCTGAATTGGATTCTAATATTTTTAGCAAGCCGGTGGTATGGAGTTCTTTTCACGATGAAATGTGCCGGGAAATCATGGTTGTTGATCCCTTCACTGGAACAAAAAAGAGCCCTGTTGCGAGAGGAAAGAAAAGGGAAGAGGTTGCTGAAAACTTGAACCAAATTGAAGCTGTTTATTTCACAGTTGACAAAAGGGCAGTTCGAGATCGCTACAACCTTCTCGCGTGGCTAAAGAACTGAGGAGCAAACCGAAAAAAGAGAAAAAAAAAACAGGTGGAATTGAAACCGGCATGAACAGCATTGAAGTGGCACTAGAGGAGTTTAGTGTGTTGTTTCTGTATTCTTGTATTTTGATGTCATTATTGCAAGTAAAAATTAAAAAAAAATTCATCTGGAGATTTTGGCTTCTTCAAGAAGCTCTCATCGCATAGTAGAATAAATTCATCGTCGTCTATCACAACGTCTAAGCAGCTTTTTAGAAGAAAGGTCCTAGCGTCTTTAAAGGTCGGCATATTTGTTTGTGAAAGAAATATCGCCGTTGCCGTCCCAAGTGAAAATTGTTTGCTCTTAAGTATTTTTTTTTTGGCGGGCACGACGGGGCTCGACCTAGTCTTCCTCATCCACCCCCGTCGCCGTCCTGGCTCCCCGTCCTCGTATCTTAAGGTCCCTATTAATAGCTCCTCTGCTGATACTCAAAAATAAGGGATAGTACTCTTTGGAAGCTTCCTTACACCTAGCACCTACACATTAGACTGTTTGCAGCCATTCAATTTACTCAGAGAAAACATATCAAGAACCACTGACATGTAAAATCAATTCATTTCAGCCACTCATCTTTCTATCACTGATAGAAGTTATTGTTATCACATAAGTTTTTTTATAGGCTTGATTAAAAAGGACTTCACTCTCTTTAAAGTAAACTATCGCTTGTTTTGCACCTCAAAAGCTTAATACATTTTTTGTGTAATACCAAAGCTCTACACTCCATGTCCAGGAAATCTCAAAAACAGAAAATCAATCAATCAAAAATTACCAGTAACAAAAATAAATATATAATGTAATACTGCTTACGTCTGAATACAGGAGTCCAATTGCCACCGCTAAATAAAATCTGGAGAGATAGACTGGTCTAATCTCTTGATCAGACCGATGACTACAAAAGATGCGGCAAAGAGCACCATAAGCCTCAGCACATCCTGGCTCAAACTTACTGTCCACGAAGTAGCCCACAACGTCACGCCTAAAAACAACAAAGTCAGATAGGCATGGTTACATGACTGTACAATTCTAGATTCAGGTCTAAAGGAGGGTCCCCCCAAAAAACTCCAAAACAGTCAGATTTTTTAGCACAGCATAAGAGTCTCACACACGTGAAGAGCGCAACGCCACATTTTTTAGCCTTGCTCCAGACTTTTTGTTTGACTGTTCCCAGGTACTTGAATACGCAAAAATATGGATTGTTTTTCAGTCAATAACATTATGTCCCTATAATACATGTAAAGCCAGTGATTTTGTTATCTCTGCATCATGCATCCCTGATGCATAAAAATCCCCAAAGACTCAAAATAACATTATTCATGGCATGTTTCCATAGGATGCAAAGAACGATCGATTGATTAGAAGATTTCTTTGGTAGAATATCCTGTTTGTGTGATTTCTTTTTTCAGTACACTGTAATAAAGAGTTTTGGCACCCGTCTCCACATTAGCTGTCTGGATACAAAAAGGTGCAACCATTAAATTTTTTTTTTTTAGTTTAGGACTCCTTGTGTTTTTGAACTGGGACTCACATGTTATCGACAGGGACTCACGATTTTTCACAAGATGAGTCCCAGGACTCACCATAACTATTTGCAATAAAATCGCTGTACAACTGTAAGCCATTCAAACCCAATAGCCAAAACATTCTCTTCCCATGTCCCACAATTCCAATGGTTTTTACTACCTATAATGCCCCATTCATGACAACTAAACATGTTTAATTAAACCATGTTTTAGAAAATGAAAAATACACATGGAAAACTGGAACAAGGGTTTTTACAACATGTTTTGCAATTTGCGCTAAATTAACAATCAAATTAAAAAGTTGCCAAAACCTGCATCCCATTCCAATAATACAAGCCTGATCCCCGATCCTGAAAAACCCCTTATGGGAATTCACCTGATTGGCAAAAAGGGGAAGGGTCAGATACACCTTTTGCCTTCATTAACAGAAAATAGAAATTCATTCCTCAATTACCCACGCTCTATATTAATATTCTCACATGACTCTGAGGGTTTAGGGACAAACTTAAGATTTTTTTCGTGACTTCATTGGCTTGCATTTCAAAGAAGAGACTTGAGGACAAAGAAACCAAACAAAATATAGAGATAAAGATTGAAAATCACATTACATGTCTGCATGAAAAACAATATTGGCTTTTGAAGAACATGTAAAGTAATCAAGAATTCACAGCCTTACCCTACTCGGCCTGTCCCTGTCATTTCAGGAACAGTATTTCCAACAAATCCTTCATAGATCTTTCCAAGATTTCTGGTGGTGTCTTGGCGTGTTTGCAAGATCAGATCAAGGAGTTTGCGCTTCATTCATTTTTTGCAGTTATTGCCATGTACTCCGAATGGGTCTCTCTTCGTAACACGCCAAGTCTTCTCTGAACGAAGCGACTCTTGCGTTCCCGAATTGATGAGTGTTTTGACAACTGTATGAGCAACATCTTTTCCTACGGATGGTGGAAAATTCTGGTATGCACTACATGGTAGCACACCATATAGTCGTGCAAAATAAATTAAACGAACACTGTGTATAACGTCTTGTAAGTAGTACGCATTTCTTAAAACTCCTCTTTTCTGTACTTTCTACTCCTCGCTTGTCCCTTGTGTCCTTACTAGTCCTTTTATGTCCTTTTACGTCCTTAATAGTCCTTTTGTGTCCTTACTAGTCCTTTTCTGTCCTTACTAGTCCTTTTGTGTCCTTTTCTGTCCTTACTTGTCCTTTTATGTCCTTACTAGTCCTTTTCTGTCCTTACTAGTCCTTTTGTGTCCTTTTCTGTCCTTACTAGTCCTTTTGTGTCCTTACTAGTCCTTTTCTGTCCTTTTCTGTCCTTACTAGTCCTTTTATGTCCTTTTCTGTCCTTACTAGTCCTTTTACGTCCTTTTACGTCCTTACTAGTCCTTTTGTGTCCTTACTAGTCCTTTTCTGTCCTTACTAGTCCTTTTATGTCCTTTTACGTCCTTAATAGTCCTTTTGTGTCCTTGCCAGTCCTTTTCTGTCCTTACTAGTCCTTTTCTGTCCTTACTAGTCCTTTTATGTCCTTA